GCTATGTGGGCAGGCCAGTCGTTAACGTGGGCAGGCTGGTTACCACACGGGCAGGCCGGTCGCTATGTGGGCAGGCCAGTCGTTAACGTGGGCAGGCTGGTTACCACACGGGCAGGCCGGTCGCTATGTGGGCAGGCCAGTCGTTAACGTGGGCAGGCTGGTTACCACACGGGCAGGCCGGTCGCTATGTGGGCAGGCCAGTCGTTAACGTGGGCAGGCTGGTTACCACACGGGCAGGCCGGTCGCTATGTGGGCAGGCCAGTCGTTAACGTGGGCAGGCTGGTTACCACACGGGCAGGCCGGTCGCTATGTGGGCAGGCCAGTCGTTAACGTGGGCAGGCTGGTTACCACACGGGCAGGCCGGTCGCTATGTGGGCAGGCCAGTCGTTAACGTGGGCAGGCTGGTTACCACACGGGCAGGCCGGTCGCTATGTGGGCAGGCCAGTCGTTAACGTGGGCAGGCTGGTTACCACACGGGCAGGCCGGTCGCTATGTGGGGATGGGCCGTGCTGGCCCAAGCACTAGCAGGGCCCTGCAGGAAACAAGCCCAGCAAAAGGGCGTTTCTGTTGCGATCATCACATCTGGCCTTGGGCTTGTGCCCTGCAGGACCTGTCTCGTGGAAAGCCGCCCCAGTACCAGGCCTGCCAAAAGGAGCCTAGACAGTCCCCCCCCCTCCAGGGGGGAAACCAGAGGGCAGTGCTGGCTGCAATGAGCCCAGCCCCAGTGGTTTCAAACCCTCCCTCTGGGGCCCGCTGGCCTCGTGGCCCCTCTGGCCTCTGCAGGGGCTGGCGGAAGCTGCTTCTCAGCCCCAAGGGTTTTGTTGAATGTGTTTCTGAAACGCCGGGGCTGGGGCCTGTCGTCTCCTCCCAAAGGAAGCCGCTGCCCCCAGCAAGCGACCCAAAGGCCCAAAGCGCAGCAGCCCCGGCCCCGGCCAGCCCCCGCCAGACGCGCAGGCCGGAAACCGTGTCTCAAGGATGGTTTGTGCAACACTTGTGTAACTCGGGGCTTGTGGCTGGGTGACATTTGCATTCACTTCCCTGCTGCCATTCAACGGCCTGGCCCCTCCGCCCGCTTCCCATTTCCCACTGGCCTCGTGCTCTTGCCTGGTCAGAGCGGCGCTGACCTAGGCACAAGGTGAGGGGAACAGCCCGCTAGCGACACCAAGGCCGGCTTCTCTCCGCCTCCGGCGTCACGGGGTGGCTGCAGAAGAGGCTGTGGTACAGCCCAGCTCCCCCCTCCCCCACCGGCCAACGGCCTGGCCCCTCCGCCCGCTTCCCATTTCCCACTGGCCTCGTGCTCTTGCCTGGTCAGAGCGGCGCTGACCTAGGCACAAGGTGAGGGGAACAGCCCGCTAGCGACACCAAGGCCGGCTTCTCTCCGCCTCCGGCGTCACGGGGTGGCTGCAGAAGAGGCTGTGGTACAGCCCAGCTCCCCCCTCCCCCACCGGCAGGGCTCTCCGCTGGGCGCACTGGCAGCCAGGGGCAGGCTCCATGCCAGGTGGCCTGCCCCTACCACGGTCGCCACGGGGACAGAGCTAAGGCCTCATTGCTCTTGGTGCCAGTGAGGCTGGGCAAGTTGTCCGTGGCTGGTTCCTCAGCCCGTGTCACCAAGACCAGGGTGCCACTGGAGTCTGCTCTCAGTGGCCGAAGGTCAGTTTGGGGGCTGCTGCCCCAGCAAAGGCCCAGGACAGTCGCTAAAGTGCCACAAAGTCCTCTGCAGGGCTGGCTTATTGCCTGTGGGAACCCGGCTCAGCTTTTGCTGCCAGGCTGCCTCTCAGGTGCCAACGGTGTCTAGCGCCGCGCTGGCCCCACAGTTCCCAACCAGCTGTGGAAGAAGGGGCTCTGCTGCTCTTGGACTCCCCCAGGCAGCTCAGCTAAAGTGTGAGTGGCTCAACCCGGCGCCAGGGCGACGCCTCGACTGTACCAGCCTGGCTTTGCTGTGGGACGGTGCCCTTAGAAAAACCAGGGTGCGCTGCCGGCACTCGGCCCCCCCTCTCCCTCCTCCGCTGTCGTTCCAGTTCGGTGTTGCGCTCCGACCGGGAGACTGATGCTTTAGAAAGAGGGGGGGATTTTTCTTGTCAACCTGCCCTCTGCCATTCTCCATCCAGGCTGCTGTATAGAAAGCCCCGAACGTCCCCCATGGCCGGGCAGCTGTCGCAGGAGCCAAATCCGCTTCTGACAACATGGCATGAGTCAGCAGCCTGCCTGAGCCATCGCCACGGCCAGGCCTTGGGATTTTGCAGGGCACACGAGCAGCTCGTCCCATTCACATTGGAGGGCTGGTTTCATAATGAGCAAGTTTCCTCGCAGGACAGCCATACGGGTGGACGCGGTGTACCTGTACAGGCGCCGAGCTGGTGACATCACACAAGGGGGGGTATTGGCTGGGAACGGGGTTCCGGCTGCAGTCAGGCTCCGCATGCAGCTCTCTTGCCTAGTCTGTTCCACGTGACGTCACGGGAACGACGGGACCAGGCCACGGCCGTGGCCATGCCCAGCATTGGTGAAGAGGGATGAGGTCATTGCAAGATAGCATGCTGATTGGGTGGAGTTTTGTAGAAGTAAAAAGTGGTGAGAGAGGTGGGGGGAAACGGGGTTCCGGCTGCAGTCAGGCTCCGCATGCAGCTCTCTTGCCTAGTCTGTTCCACGTGACGTCACGGGAACGACGGGACCAGGCCACGGCCGTGGCCATGCCCAGCATTGGTGAAGAGGGATGAGGTCATTGCAAGATAGCATGCTGATTGGGTGGAGTTTTGTAGAAGTAAAAAGTGGTGAGAGAGGTGGGGGGAGGGGGGGTGGCAATGGGTTGGAACTGGTGGAGCCTGAGGGGGGAGAGGCCACCGCCTACTAGCCAGTAACAGTCCGTGGTGATTGCTGCTAACCCCCCGCCTGCCCTCTTCTGACCACATGCTTGGTCAGTGGGGCCCGTCTATATGTTAATTCTCTGGCTGCCCCAGGTGGATTCAGTGGAGTTGCTCTGGAATCGCTCCCCTTGTAGGCCCTGCCCCTCTGGGAAAGCCATCTTTTGGGAGGAGGCCACCTTAGAGGGCAGCACAGCCGCGGTCCTTGCCCACACCAGGACGTTCTGCATCAGGGCCCTGCCCTGAGCCCCAGACTTTGCCTTCAGCTGAATTACGGGC